CTCCCCTCAGGAGCTACGTGAGTGGTTTGCCAGGCGCTGGAGGCGTGCTGCTGGTGCTGGAGGTTCTTCGGCTGCAGAGGGTACTGCTGCCGAGCGTCCCGGCGGTGCTCGTACTGTGGGTGCTGGAGCTGCTGGGTCTGAGGGTTCTCCTGGAGCTGGTGCTGCTGAGGGTGTTGACGCTGAGACTGCCGCTGGAGGTCCGACTGGCGGTGCTCCTGGTGGTGCTGCTGGAGGTTCTGGAGCTACTGGAGGTGCTGTTGGAGCGGGTACTCCTGCTGGGGGTACTGGTGCTGTCCCTGCTGTTTCTGGCGTCGCCGCGCGGCCCCGGCCGTACTTCGTTCCGCTCCTGCAGCAGGTTCTTGGTCTTACACCTTCTCCTGGTCCTCCTCCTCCTCCCTTAGAGGGTCCACAGCCTGTCTCGTCACACTCACAGCTACAGCCTGCCTCACCTTTGCCTGCTCCTTCTCCCTACGCTGGTCCGACTGGAGGTCTTACTGAGCGTCGTGAGCCTGCGTCTCGTCCTGCGTCGCCTGTTCGTACTGCGCGCGCTAGTGGTCGCGGTTCGCGTCAGCATCCTCCTCCTGTCCCTGGCACGCACCGGATGTCTCTGCGTCCGTCTACTGCTCCTCTGCGTGCCCCTTTGCCTTCTCCTCCTGCTTCCTCTCTTCCTGCTCTTGCCGACCCGGAGTCGGACTCTCTTCGTGCTGCCAGTCCTACTGTCACGCCTCTCCTTGCTACTGCTGTCACTGACCCTTCTTTCGAGTCTTCTGCTGCGTCTGCTCTTGTCACGGAGCTCGTCGACTTTGCTGCGCGCTGTCGTCTAGACTACGCTGCTAGTCTTGTCGCTGAGTCTGAGTCTGCCTGTCCTCCGTCCGTCGGGGGTGAGTGTGCCCTTGGCACGGACGTCCTTGAGGACAGGCAGGAGGAGTTCCAGTGTCTGGCCGCCGCTTCACCTCATCTCGCGTCTGTACTGCTAGCCCCTGAGGGAGACCCGGATGCACTAGACATCCCGACTCCGCGCTCTTACGCGGAGGCGATAGAGGGTCCCTACTCCTCTCAGTGGCAGGCAGCTATGGATGCAGAGATGGCTTCCTGGAAGTCCACAGGCACCTACGTTGACGCTGTTCCCCCTCCTGGGGCGAACATCGTCAGTGGCATGTGGATTTTCAGGGTGAAGCGGCCGCCGGGTTCTCCGCCTGTCTTCAAGGCGCGTTACGTGGCTCGTGGCTTCAGTCAGCGGCAGGGGGTTGACTACTTTCAGACCTTCTCCCCCACCCCGAAGATGACCACTCTTCGGGTACTGCTGCACGTTGCTGCTCACCGTGACTACGAGTTGCACTCTCTCGACTTCAGCACAGCTTTCTTGCAGGGCAGCCTGCACGAGGAGATCTTGCTGCGTCGCCCACCTGGCTTCACTGGGTCTTTCCCTCCTGGTACCCAGTGGAGTCTCCGGCGTCCAGTCTACGGTCTCCGCCAGGCGCCACGTGAGTGGCACGACACACTGATGACTACGCTGGCGGCACTTGGGTTTGCTCCTTCTACTGCCGACCCGTCGCTGTTTCTGCGTACCGACACCTCTCTGCTGCCGTTCTACATCCTCGTGTACGTCGACGACTTGGTCTTTGCCACAGCTGACACTGCTGGACTCGCCTACGTGAAGTCCGAGCTGCAGAAGAGACACACATGCACTGACCTAGGTGAACTGCGCAGCTACCTTGGCTTGCAGATCACCCGAGACAGAGCACGCCGCACCATTACCCTGACTCAGTCACACATGGTGCAGCAGGTCCTTCAGCGCTTCGGCTTCACGTACTCCTCGCCTCAGGCCACTCCTCTGCCTACTCGCCACTCGCTCTCAGCTCTGCCTTCGGATGAGTCCGTAGAGTCGAGTGGCCCGTATGCAGAGCTTGTTGGCTGCCTCATGTACCTGATGACCTGCACACGACCTGACCTTGCATACCCTCTTAGCATTCTTGCACGCTATGTTGCTCCTGGGAGACACCGACCAGAGCACATGGCTGCAGCGAAGAGGGTGTTGCGCTACTTGTGCAGTACGTCGGGCATGGGGCTAGTGCTTGGAGGGCGCAGTCCAGTGGTCCTCACTGGGCACGCGGACGCTTCTTGGGCTGACGACCAGGCTACGCAGCGGTCATCACAGGGTTACACCTTCAGCCTTGGTTCCGGCTCTGTTTCGTGGCGGGCTACCCGCTCGTCTTCTGTTCTCGGCTCCAGTTGTGAGGCTGAGATCTACGCCGGGGCTATGGCTGCACAGGAGTTACGCAGGCTCACCTTACCTGTTGACCGACCTTGGAGAGCCGCCTCGTTCTCCTCCAGTCCTGTACGTAGACAACAAGGCCATGCTGGCCTTGTGTCGAGAGCAGCGACTGGAGCACAGGACAAAGCACATTGCTCTCCGCTACTTTCTTGCTCGTGAGCTACAGCAGCGTGGACAGTTGCGACTTGCGTACGTGGCCTCTGAGGCCAACACTGCTGATGTCTTCACCAAGGCACTTGCGCCTTGTGATCATCAGCGTTGCTGCACGCAGTTGGGTCTTGTGCCTGTCTTGCCTCACTTGCTCACTTCTTGACCTTGCTTGTACCTCGACCTATATATACTCTTGCTTGCTTGACTCTTGTATATCTCTATATATGGTCTTGCATGTGAACTGGCCTTGTGGCCCTTGAACTTGTGCTCGGAATGTGTGGTGACTTTGTGATCCACCCTGAGCTTTGCTTTGTTTTGCTTGACTGGTCTTGTGACCCCTTGTTCTCCCCCACTTTGCCTATGGGGGTGTGTCAGAATATTATAGCCTACTTATTTGTGTAGGCTATAGTGGGGTATCCCATAGGGGGTACAACCCAACTAGAGTTTCCTATTTGTACTCACTTCATTCTTAGTCATTTCATTCTCGTTCTAACTTTCTCAGCATGGGCTCTGGAACGTGCGTGCATCCTGCAGTTTTTGTCACTCTGTTTCGTAGGTCAATGGCGATGGTCGCAACAGTGGTTGCTGTCGTAGTTGGGCGACCAACCCCTTGTTCAAAAGGATGTTCCACGCTCTGAGGGACTCCAAATGACGACAATTGAGCGACCATATCGCTTAGTTGCGCGCCAAACCATCCTACGGCGACACGCTGGCAGAAGCAAGATGCTCGGCGCGGCAGAGCATCTTCTTGGCAGTTTCGCGAGGCATAGTATCTTGGCAGCGACACGCTGGCGGTGTTCGCCAGCACTTTTGAAAACGAAAACGACGGGATCAGGAAGGCCAGTCACGCCTTCCTGATCCCGTCAGTTAGGGTTCGTTAAGCTCCGTCAGCCTGGTCAGCCCGTAAAATTCGAGCCGAAGCTAGGATGTCGTCTGAACCTAAAGCAATCTTTGGTGCCTGGCGAACGCCCTCATTTTTCTCAATTTTCGGATGGAAACATGGCATTCGGAAATGGGGATGTGACTTCCTCCCCAGGCAAACGTCCCGTCTCATGCCATTCCGTGGCAATCCACCATTTCACGTGGACTGCCGTGGTTTGGCGATGTAATTGGCTGTGAAAGGGTAAACACTACCACAGCCACCGGAGTCACGAATACGCCCTCATTTGCACCCAATTTTCCACTCTCTCGAATACACCACGGGCTGCTCTAGTCCAGAACCAGTACAGATGGGGCTTTTTTCTCCCGTTTTTTACCCTGGTACAGTAGGGTTTGGCGCCCGGTCAGGCACAGGTCAGTGGCGCCAAATTTTCGTCCCATTTGGGGGGAAGGTGGGGTGTGGGGTTCCATATGCGGTAGTGAAGTTTCCCATGTCGGGGCTGACAAGTTCGCGGGTGGCATTTCGCCCAAACCTTTTCGGAGGGTTCCGGCCCCGCTTCCTGATGTCGTTGCCTGTCCACTGCCTTCCATTTTCTTCCTATGTCAAAGGTGCTGGCGAACACCGCCGCTGGAAGAAGCAAGATGCTCTAGCTCGAGGTTTGCCACATCAACCTCGAAATACACTTTCGATCCATCCTCCGATATCGTTTCGTGTCTGTACCTCGCAATGCACACACATACGGTACCCGTTTTCCGCACCCTTAATTATTTTCAGGATTGATTTCTCCATATAGGTAACAAGTGCATATTCTCACCATGACTTCATCATCCCATTGTTTAAAATGGCTTTTATAAGCTAGACAGAGAGTGTTTCAACCAAGTTTAACTGCTCCAGTGTTTGCCATCTAACCAAGTGAATCTCCAAGAAATAACGAATGCAGTCATTGTTCAACGATCAGCCAAACTGCACCAACATGTTGCCGTATCTCTAAGCACTATGATAAACATACACTTAAAGCTGTAGCAAAATGTGGAGCTCAAGATTGAGCTCTGGGGTAGATCAACAAGTAGATATGCTGCGCAGCGCAGCACCAAGCAGTGGCCTGTCGAGCAATGTAGCACATGTTGGCCGCCTCCTGCTGTCACTGCAACTGCTGCAGCGCATCACTGGGCAGTGGAGAACAATTTGTCCGCCCTGGCAGTGGAGAACAATATGTCCGCCCCCTCCTGTCACTGCAGTTCTGCAGCGCATCAATGGGCAGTGGAGCAAAATTTGTCAGCCCCCTCCTCATGTCGTTGCAGCTGCTGCAGCACAGTGCTACGTGCCAGAGGCAGTGCGACGCGGCAGAGGCAGTGCGACGCGGCAGAGGCAGTGCGACGCGGCAGAGGCTGCCGCCTCTCTGCCCCCACTGCCAATTCAGCACCCTTGCCCGCCGCCCCCTCACCGCTCCAAGCTTATTCTCAATCCACCAGCCGTCTGCACCCTAGCGCGCCCTCTTACCGCCCGTGTGCAACTCCCACCTGCACTCTCACCTCAGTTCTATCTCTCACTCTCACTCTCATACTCATTCTCGCACTCTCACCCTCACCCTCAAAATCGCCCCCACTCTCACTCCCATCCTCGAGCACGAAGCGCCTGTGCCTGGCACCGGGCATGGCGGCAGGCAAGGGCGAGGGCGGCGGCTGAACGAGGTTGTCAATGAGCAACGATGCCAAGGCATTTGACGTCGTCCTGCTGGGAGGCTCTGAGTGGCACCTCCACAAGCCCGTGGGCGCCATGCGCGAGCATGACGGAGAGCAGCAGCTGCGAGGCACGCACTGCAGGCTGCCTCACTGCTGCTGCCGCCTTGTGCAGCCACAAATGCAGCAGCACTGGCAGCAGTAACCGCGACGCTGCCACCTGCACAGGGATGACAGGGAGGGACTCGGGGAGAGGGGGCGAACGGGGAAGAGTGAGTGAGGGAGGAGTGAGGTGCCACAGCGAAAGACTGTCAAAGAAAATGATGCCACCAGAAAAGGCAGTAGTTGGATGCTAGATTGGGGTGGGTGGCATGGGTGGTGTGCCTTGCAGACTGGCAGCACGGCCACGGCGGTTGAACGGCTCTGCTAGCATTTGACGTGTCCTGTGAGGCACGAGTGAGGGAAGAGGGGGGTGTGGGGAGATGACGAGGGAAGGACGGCTTACGGATCACACACAGCAGAAAAAATGCAAGCAAGAGGAAACGTGGCGAGACAATCGTTTCCAGAGACACGCACAGAGACGCGCCTCCACGCACCTGGGCACCTCGTCTTCAGCAGCGCCCGGGCACAGGTACACCTGCACAGGTACACCTGCACATGTACACCTGCACCACTCGCTCCACCCTGTCCTCCGCTCCGCGCTCAGCGCCCCTCCCCTCGCCCCCGCACGCGACCGCCAGCAGCAGCTTGCACAGCCCCTCGCACAGCACGCCCACCGCGCACCATGCCCACCACGCCCACCACGCCCTCCGCTTCCCCCTCGTCCTCCCCCTCCACCTGTCGTCCTATGCGCTGCACGTCCTCCTTGACCGCCTCAACGTCCACCTGCCAGCCCGTCAGCGGCACCAGCCCCAGCAATACGTCCACGCTCCCCTCCGCAGCCGCTCGCCCTCCCCCACGCGCCCCTGCTGCGCGCTGCGCCTCTCCCCCGGCACTGCATCCGCTCACCGCACTCCCCTCGCCCTCGTCGCTGAGGCCCGGCGCAGCGACGTCGGGCAGCAGCGCGGCGGAACGGTGCCAGAGCGGGGCGGAGCGGTGCGAGAAGGTCCGCCAGGGCGCGCACGGCCACCATCTGCACGCCGCGGTGCGCGGACTCGCGCGCGGCGGCGTGCAGCAGGGGGAGGTGGGAGCGCGTGGACGGCGCATGCAGCGAGGCGAAGGCTTGGAGCACGGCGATGGACTCCGCGCGCACCAGAGGCGACGGATGCGCCGCCTGCCGGCACAGATCGTGAGGGGGAGGGGGACAGGGGAGGATAATGCTTGAGCATACGGGTGACGGTTAACGAATGCAGGCACGGGCGCGGGGCAGCGAATGCCCGCAGACCACCGTGCTGGCGAATGCTTGAGGGCAAGCGGAGTGAGGCCGTGAGGGCAGCGTGCGCGCGTACCGCGGGGACGAGGATGCAGTTGAGCGCCTCCTGCGGCTCCACGCGCAGGTTCCTCCACGCCCTGAACGTGCCGCCGCCTGCCGATTTGCAGCACAGCCGCAGCAGAGCCTGACGTCAGCCAGAGCGTCCACGAGAGCTGCGAGCACGTCAGCATCCGAGGCGTGCACGCGCTGCGCCAGCCCCAGCAGAGCCTCCACCGCCCCTGCGAGCGTTGGCTGCGCGCCGACGAGGTGGCGGTGCACGAGCGCGGCGTCGTGCGCGCGGATGGTGGCGTCAGTGAAGTGGAGCACCGCCGTCAGCTGCATCAGCTGCCGCGCCGCGAACCGACCCTCCGACCCTGCGAGAGCTACAAGCAAGTATTAGCATGGCGCCTGCGTAAAATATACCCGTCGTCGGTGCAAATAGCCTGTAAGTATTAGTCATGTGCGTTTCCAGCAGCGCCAGGTAGTCCTGCCGAGAACTCGCGGACAGACAGAAGCTGCCGGGCTAAACGAATTCAGCGCCTGCGAGGGGTACAAGCGCTTGTAATCACATGACACGCATGGAACAAGACCTAAACGCTTGGGTTAAGACCTGATGCGCTTAGAATAAGACCTAAAACGTTTGGGATAAGACGATAATAAGTTCTGCGAGCGCATCTGGAGCGGAAAGGGAGAGTGTGGCATACCTCCGAGGGCACTCTAGTGACGTTGACCCTGACGGCCTTGCTGCGCGCGTCGCTGTACTGCGAGAAGAGACACAGCAGCTCCTCCATCATCTCCCGCGCGTCCTCGCTGCCCTCCGCGACCAGCACGCCCAGAAACGTCTTGACGAAGTGAAGCACCGTGTCGCCAGGGCTGTCAGCTTTCTGGCTGAGGAGAGCAGGTCAAATGAAATCAAGAAATGCCGGCGAGAGTCCGTTTCGGTGTTGGCGAGCACACTGGAGGAAAAGCAAACTGTTTCTATGGAAAAGCTAACTGACTCCTGACACTCGTTCAAGACTCTCGGAATAAGCGACGCTGGCGGATCTCCTACTTCTTCCCTGCGTGGTTCCTGTTGCTTTCGTCATCCTGCTAACTGGAGAACACAAGCTGCGAGCTTCGAAGGTACAACTCAATAACCAACGAACGATCAGCATATTCTGACATTTGGCTCATGCTACGCAAGGGCTGGAGAGGAGAAGCTCAGAGCTCGGATGAATGAAGGGTTGGATTCCGGATTTTGGAACGAGATACAGGATTTTGCTCAGCGATGACCAGACCTAGCAGGGGAGAGATGCGGGAGGAACCTGGGGATTGGCGCACCCTGACACTTGCACCTCTGAAGCTCTGTTGTCCCTCGGTGATTTCCCAAATGCAGTGCTACAGTGGCCTTGTTCGATAGCGAGGGTGACCCATGCCAGAAAACATTGAGGTGACCTTGTTCCTTGGGCGGGAAACGGTTTGCGACCTCATGCGATGGTGCATAATTCCCGCCAGCGCGAACGACCCACCTGCGATCTCCACGGTTTCCCGCCCATCTGCTAAAAGCTGGCGGGAATCTTGACGTGGTACTTTGACACCACAGTGCGCAAGAACAGTAACTCCCGCCTAATGATTACAGCCCCTCCCTGGTAAAACACCAGACCATTGTCGGACCATTGCCAAAGTTGCTTTTCAACTAAGGTCCTGTTCGATAGCAATTCGGGAAAAACCCCCCCACCATTGCCCAAGCACAATGGTGGGAGCGTAAAGACAAACGCTGAGTCGTCCGGCACCGCCGGCAGGGAAATGATTACAGCCGACTGCCTGCCGCCTTCGATCACCTCGCTCAACGGCCAAGGTGTGTCACACCACAGGCTTAACGGCCAAGGTGTGTCACACCACGGTGGTAACAGTGGGCAGTAAGCGAGGCTAAGGTTTCCCCACAGTGATGTTGGGTCTGCCAAAAAAAAACCCAACCCGGGACCAAAATGATCGTAAAAAAAAAAGGGAAACGGCATGTAACGAACCACCTGCTCAAAATGACGACTCAACAAGCAAACCCTAATTTTTCATGCCCTTAATTTGGGCAGCTTAACTTGGGGAAACCGTCCGTTTAGACTATCCCCAAATAGCCCCTCCGTGAGGAATGGTTGTGACTTATCCTGAAAGTAGAAATGGCATTGGTGTCTAGCGGGGGGCTCGTTTTGCCCCGTGGGAGGTCTCTGGTCGAGGTAATGATTACGCCGGCTGTCACTTTAGTGTGCGCTTTGGGGCTGTTGATGGTTGTTAGACTTCCCGCCTTGTTTTGGCGTGTGGGCGGGAAACCGTAGCCATCGCAAGGGTTTCGTTCGCGCGGGCGGGAAATGTGAACCATCGCAAAGCGTCGTATCTAGTTTCCCGCCAGATTCTCTCCACCATTGTCAAATATACCAAACGCAAACCACCCTGCTATCGAACAGGACCTAAATCGCTTCACTGCCAGACCAATGGGCTATTTAGGGGTAGTCTAATCTAGCGGTTTCCCTATCTCTAACTGCCCAAAAGTAGGGTAAAGAAAAACAGAGCATGCCCGGTCGAATCTGAGCCTTTTGACTCTTGAGACTTGCACATTTCGCAGCTTCGTACTACGTCGCGATTTGTGGAGTCCAGTGCCTTAGCGACATACAGCGAATTAGGAAGTGTGTTTCACGAATTAGGGTTTCCTTGCAGAGATGTTCTACGTGGATGGTTTTTTTTTCCCCTACATCCAGCGGTATTTTGTTTTTCGGTTTTTTTCCGCCTTCACCTGTCAACTTTGGGGGAACCCTCGTCCGCTTCAATGGGCCGTTAGGGTGGAGCTTTTCAACACCCTGCACGGTTGAGTTCGGTGAAACAAGTCGGCGTTGGGGCGGCCAAATAATTACACTGCCGGCCCAGAGGCCCCACTTGCACTTTGTCGCGACCCTCAACCATTTGGGCGACAGGGCCATTCCAAACGGTTGCATCCTGGAAGCCCCAAAAGCTATCGAACAGGGCCAGTATTATATTTACCAAAACCGAGGGCCTTTCCAATATGAACCAGCTCTCAGCTGTATACCGTAACTGAAAGTTTGAAACTGTTATGAGTTGTATGAAAGAAGAGTGCGCAGAATGCAATATCGCGGAAGTGATTACAACTACTGAGCAACCATCGGGGCCTATGTTGAAATGTATTTGTATACTTTCATATAAATGCCTACAGTAGCCTAGTGTAGTTATCTTAGTTTCCTGCTAGGTGGTGTACCATTTGCCTTTCTTCATTCTTGCCTATTTGTACCCTTGAACCTATAGTGAAACCCCTCTTTCCTCTCGATATTTTTCACTTCAACTCAACCTGCTCGATACTCAAACTCTAGTTCTAACTAGCTATGGCTCCTTAGCCTAGCTTAAGTTGTGACATGGTACAGAGCACGTAACGCTCCTGGACTCCTGCTTCCGCTGCTACTAAGTGTACTGCATGCCCCGTGGTGTGCCCTACTGTTGCGGCCCCGCTGCCCTACTTAAGTGGCCCCGCCGCCCTACGCTTCGCGGCCCCGCCGCCCTTTCTTAGCGGCCCCGCCGCCCTGCTATCGCGGCCCCGCCGCCCTGCTACTGCGGCCTCGCTGCCCTTTCATTCGCGGCCCCGCCACCTACGGACGCGGCCCCGCATCTACCTTTGCGGCCCCGCCACCTACGGTCGCGGCTCCGCCACCCTTCTCTCGCGGCCCCGCCGCCCCACTTCGCGGCCCCGCCGCCCTACTCCTGCGGCCCCGCCGCCCTACGTCGCGGCCTCGCCGCCCTTCACTGCGGCCCCGTCGCCACTCTCACCTGCGGCCCGTCGCCGCCCACATTTGCGGCCCCGCCGCCCTCTGTTGCGGCCCCGTCGCCCTCGGCCCCGGCCCCGATGTCACCTGCGGCCCCGCCAACTGTGGCCCCGTCGCCACCTGCGGCCCCGCCCACCCTTGCGGCCCCGTCGCTCACTTCGGCCCCGCCCACTTGCGGTCCCGCTCCCCCCCTTCTTCCCGTCACCTATCACGGCTCCTGAGGGGGCCGCGCGACCTGAAAGGGGGGGGGATTCGTCGCCCCATCTGCCGCTTGCTTTGGCGCCCGGGGAGGCCGTGCGTCGGCCCCTCCCCCCCCCTTCCCCCCCCCCCCCCCTTTCTCCTCCTCCTTTTTGTTCCCTCTGCTGCAGCTGCCGCTGGGGGGGAGGGTGTGAGAGTGTGGGGAGCCCGGGGAGGGACTGGGGGTGGCGGGTGTGGGGGTGATGTGTGGTCCCCTGGCCCTACGGCCCCATCCTCCTCCGTTTGCCCCCCCTCTGCTGCTCCTGCAGCAGTGTGGGGGGGAGGGGGAGGGGGAGGGGGAGGGTGAGGGGATGGAGTGGGTGACCAGCGTGGGCGTTTTACACTTCAAGCTACTACTGCTCTTGCTTGTTTCTGTTTCTTCCATTGCACCTTGTACCCCTGCAGACTTTGTGCTACACACGGGTTTCCACTGTAAGCATTTAGGGGGTGTGTTGAAATGTATTTGTATACTTTCATATAAATGCCTACAGTAGCCTAGTGTAGTTATCTTAGTTTCCTGCTAGGTGGTGTACCATTTGCCTTTCTTCATTCTTGCCTATTTGTACCCTTGAACCTATAGTGAAACCCCTCTTTCCTCTCGATATTTTTCACTTCAACTCAACCTGCTCGATACTCAAACTCTAGTTCTAACTAGCTATGGCTCCTTAGCCTAGCTTAAGTTGTGACAGCCTAGGCATAATATAGCAAGGCTAGCTAAGCCTGAGGTCGCGAAGTCGTGCGAGGTTGGGTGTAGGTTTGGGTTTGGGAAAACCCGAAGGCGACGCGGAGGACGTTCGGGAGGCGAGGTCGTCGGACCGAGCCTGAACTCCGAAAGTTGGAAATGTACGCATAAGCGGTGCCTCAGTAAGGAATTAGGAAATTTCCTTACACTACCCCCCCCTTCAAGAAAGGTGGTCAATATCAGGTACGTGTCGGCGAGAAAGATACTGCCGGAGTACCGAGTGCCCTTGTAGTGAGTCAGCTGGGACCCATGTGTCGTCGTCACTTGTGCGATCCACCCAACGAAGTAGAAAGTCGACGTGGCGGCCGGCTGGGGTCGCACGAATGCGATGATTCAATATCTTCCAGGGCTGGAGCGTGGGATCTTCGACCGGTCGGACACTGGGCGCCTGGTGGGGTCGAGCGACGTCGGAGGACTGGGGTGCCACGTAGTGGCGAAGTAAACTGACGTGGAAAGCGTCGTAGATATGCCAGTCGTCCGGGAGGAGAAGCTTCGCAGTGACCGGTGTCAGCATTCGAATGATGCGAAAAGGTCCCACGTATCGAGGACGCAGTTTTGCGGGC